ATCTCTTAAGCATCCCACCCTGCCAGGTTCAGCCATCCACCTTCAGCTCCACAGCCAGACACGCCACCCATCAATATGCCAGCCTGATCACCATCATACGTTTACTGAACAAAGGTGTGCTAAGCTGACTTTCTCCCATTCACACGTTTTTCTGTAACCTGCAGTTGTCTGGTCTTCACAGAAAAGCTGCTCTGGGTTGCTACTCATGCTATTATTGTTGTTGTTGTTGTTGTTGTTGTTGTTGTTGTTGTTGTTATTAAAATCCCATTCCAGCCCCTCCTTGTAGCGCCTGCAGTTTGCCTACATACCAAGCTACAATCCTCCCTCTGCCAAGGGCACCACCAGATGGTGGCCTCCAATGCTTCCCCCAGAACACTTTTTAGTCATGTGCAGAAGGTGCAGACAAGGCTATGAGCCTTAGTGGCATCCCTGCCACATGCCGCGTTCGGTGCAAATGGTGTGAATGCAAGACCAGCCCATTTTGGAACAGGGACAGCCTGGTGTGTTGCTGTCTGGAAACTACCTTTGCAGTCAACCAACAGTTGTCAAAATCCCACAGAGGGGGGGCCTATGCGCAGTGCCCCGGCACAGCCGGAATAGGACTGTCAAATCTAAAACTCAACAAAGGGAAGATGGAGGGGGTGGAGGAAGGGGAGGGAGGAGCTAGGAGAGGGAAGAACGCCTACGCACACAACAGGGAGGGAGGGCAGAGCCAAGCAAAGGAAGATTTAAAGAAGACTTCTAGGAGAACTGAAGCGGGTCTCCAAGGGTTTTGGACTCCAAAGGCTGAATCATTCCACGTTCTTTTTTCAAGGCATCTGTAGATCTTCTAGGACTCGCTTCTCTTTCGGTGTCAGGACCTGGCAGGCATCGAACACGCAGATCTTTTGTCCATTGGTTAATGCAGGGATGGAATCACACATTTTTGAGAGCAGGCTCACTCGGCTCTTCCTTTGGGCCACCTCCTCTCCGAGTCCTGGCTAAGAGAGAAGAAAGGCCCATCTGGGAGTCCGCAGCAGGGCGTGGAGCCCAAGCCAGCGGCCAAAAGCCAAGGACAACTTGGAGTCTAAGAGCCGCTTCCGGGCCAGAGACATTCCCTGCCTTCCTGGAAGCCCATCAGCGCTGAAGAAGCCCCACGGGGGGCAGCCTCCTCCAAGCAGGGACCTCCCAGCCCAGCCCCAGCTCTGCTGGGATTAGGAGAGGTCTCAGCCAGTCAGGAGGGCTCTCGGATCTAGGAGCCCCCCCACCCACCCCGCCTCCCCCAGCAGCAGACAGATCAAAGGTTCTTACGGCCCAGCCATTATTTATTTATGACCTTTTAATCAGGGCAGCAGCCGGTTTCCAGGCAAAGCCAGCGGGGGACGAAAACCGCCCCCCTCCTGGCTTAATCCCCGGCAGGAAGAGACAAGCTTCTTCGCTCCTGGGAGGGCTCAGCTCCGAGCGCAGGCCACCTTTTTCAGCTGTGTGGCTGCTGCCCTTATGCAAACACCGTTGTGGTGGTCGTCCTTATTGCGCCTTCCAGTCAGAGAAGGGCAAGGACTGCAGAACCCGAGTCTGCAGGGGGAGGAAAGGGCCCCCCGCATACTTGAGTGTGTATTAAAGGTTCAAGCTCAGCGGAACAGGAGAAAAGGTGAAGAGGCAGCTCTATTAACATTTAGCATTTTGCTCCAAATTTCAATATGGTGACCTACAACATCGGCGACTCACCCCACTCCCGACCGACCAGGGGTTCTCAAAGGAATGTGCTTACACACACACACACACACACACACACACACACCCCACAGGAAAGGATGGGCATTCGTGCAAAGGCTTCCATGTGTGCTAGCAGCAACATGGCTGCCACAACTGCAGGCATCAGGCAAGGGATGAGGCCAAAAGAGTTGCACGGACAGAGATACAGATTAAAAGAGTTGGAGGGACCTTGTGGGTCATCTAATCTACCCCCCACCCACCCAAAGCAGACCCTACACCGTTTTTTTATTTAAAACAAAGTTTTTATTTTTTAAAACAAACATGCGAACGAAACATAAAAACATAAAACCATCTTTCAATTATATACATACAGTGCGTCAGTTGGTTACAATCTTTTGTGCTATTCTTTTTTTACCATTACTCACAAGTTATATAAATTCTCACATCGATCTAGCTTGCACTTATATAATATCAATTGTTAAATATTCATTTGACTATTTTTCCATCATTTTATACGAGATATTCTAATTTTCATTATGATTTAACCCACCCAAGCAGACCCTACACCATTTTTGACAGATGGCACAGACAGGGCGGGGGCTGCTCTCTCTCTCTCTGTCACACACGGACACACGGACACACACGGACACACACGGACACACGCCGGGTGCCATAGCTCAAGAGGGAGGTGGGCCGCAGCCGTCCTGGGAAATGAGGCAGAAGCTCCGCAGGCAAGGAGCAGCCAGCCTTGGGGAGAAGGGAGGGGCCCCAAATGCTTCCAGGACCCCCGGGGACCCCCGCAGCCAGTCAGAGAGGGGGCAGCTGTCCTCCCGCAGATTCACGCCCTTTTTGTGGAACTCCTGCGGCCCCCAACCCCACTCCCACCGGGACAATTTTAGGGTTTCAGGAAACCTCCTGGGCAGCAGAGACACCCTGCGCCCTGCAGCCCTTTGGAAAGGAAAGGACGCACCACTGTGAGCCCGGTGCCCCTTCTGGGAAGCTCCAGGGCCAATTGGGGGGCTCCATGGAGGGCCCTTTGTCAAGACTGAGGCCTCCCGCAGGGAGAAAAGAGGAGCAGAGGTCAGCTGGGTTCCCCCATTTTTGGTGGCTGAGAACACAGCCGCTTTACCAGACTGGACGGCCAAGAACCGGCGTCTTCTTGCCAGTGAACTGAGTGGCAAGTTTTTTTGAGTGGAAAGCCTGGGTTTGAGGGACCTGAGCTGCAGGGCACCATCCCTGCAGAAGGGCAGAGGGACGGGCTAAAGTAGCAATCGCACATTCTTTGACTTCTGCATTTTTAATTTCTAGGGAAATTCTAGCAAATTTAAAATGCCTATAAACCTTTGTCGGCCCGATAAAAAGTTTCACGCTTAAAAGTTTCATCCTGGATTCACTCCAAGTGCAAAAGGAGTTCTATCTTACAGCTGACAGCCTTGGGAGCGTCCTCTGCCCCCCCCCCTTTTCTTTAAAGCAGGAATCCCTCTCTGATGGAGGGAGGGGTGGGAGGGAGGAGTGACACCTTTGCTTGGCAGAGCAGGGAGCTGACCAAGGGCCAGGATTGAGAAGAGGAGCTTTAAGCCAACCGATGCATGCAGGAGAAGCGCAGCGAACACAGACAGGAGGCTGCTCTGCCTTCCAAACAACAATTCCACCCTGCCGGGGCTGACATCCCCCTCAGGCCATTCTGCACACACACACCCCCAACTCGGCTCTAAGGCAGTTGTCAATCAGCAAGGCCTGCTCAAATATTGCACCACCACACAAACTAGGCAGAGTCCATCAGCTGCTGCCAAGGAGACTCTGGGGCTCATTCACGGGGGGGGGGGGGGGGGGGAGTAATGACTCCCCTCCTCTACCTGCTCCCCCCCCCCTTTCTTTCAGCCTTCTGTGTTTTGTTTAGTGCCTCCTCTGCTTGGGCCGCTTTCAGACTGCCTCTCCATCAAGGCTTGCCTGTCTCTAGGAAGCCCAGAGGAGAAAAACTGACCACCTTAATGCTGAACACTAACCCAGATTCCTGGCTTTCGTGTGTGTGTGTGTGTGTGTGTGTGTGTTACTTCCTTGAATTACCTCTCCTGTGCTTTCCTTGTTTTCTGGGCACAAGAGGTTCAAACGGGGACGGGGGGACTTTAACCCAGCAAACGTTTCTGGAGCAAATACGCGGAGAGCAACGGGGCCAAAGTATGGATAAGTGGACCGATGGCTGGGTTGGCAGCACCCCACTTTGACACCCTGCGTGTTCCTAGGGAAGAGGCCTCCACCCTTCCGGGAAGGGCCAGCTCTTGCCAAAAAGCAGGACTCCCCCTCAGGACCGATTCAGAGGCCAGAGAGACCCTTCTCAGCCTTCCTTTCTGCCAGGCTGAAGGTGTTTTCCAGCGATTAGATTCATTCCCAAGTGAATGAATGGCAGGATTTATCTGCACAAGCACGCACGCACACACACACATTTTGAAAGGGTGACCTTGACTTCCCCCTTGCCTGTCCACAGTCCAGACCACAAACGCAGCTGCTCCTGGGCCCACAGCAGGGACCCCTCACCCCACCCAGGCCCTCAGGGTCCCCCACTTCCCCTCACATCCTGTCTTGCAAGAAACCTCTCACCATCACAACACCTGCTTCACCGAAACCTGGGTAGGTTCAGATTTGGGCTCTGGGGAGCAGCCTCCCCCCCAAATGCCCCCCCCCCCCCCCCAGCCAGGACTGCACAGACCATCAATCGGCTCCGGCCCTCCGGGCAGTCCCGCTCTGTGAAACGGTCCCGGGTGGAAAGTCCCGAATGCTGCAACTCCTCTCGGGGCTCAGGGGCCGGAAGGCAGCAGCGGCCCCCTCCCCGTAAAAGCCCCCCGGATTCTGCCCCTGCGCCCCCCCCCCCCAACCCTGAGCCAGAAGCCTGGAGCGGAGGGAGGCTCCAGCGTCGGGCCCTCCTTCCCCGGGGACTCCCCCGCCGCAAAGCCCGAGGGCCGGCCTGGCCAAGCAGCAGAGGCACCGAGCCGCCTTTGGCCGGCAGACCCGGGCCCCGCGGGGAGGGCAGCGGACGGCTGGCGACGAAGCCGGCTCACTCGGGGTCCGACTTCCAAGCGGCCGCCGAGGAAGGAGCCGCCGGAGCGGAGCCCCCCCGCCCTCCCCGCGGCGCATCCCCGATCCGCGCTTCCCCGCCGGACGAAGCCCCGGCAGGTGCCGCCCACCCCGGGGACCCTCGGGACGCCCTAGCCGGAGCCCGGGCGGAGGGTCCCCGCCGCTCCCCTCGCTCGGCCCGGCGGCTCTGCGGGAAGGCGGCCGGCCAGCTCAGCTCCGGGCGCGCGACCTACCTGCGACATCTGCGGACGGAAGTTGATGTCCTTGAGGTCGACGGAGCCGGGCGAGAGGTTGTGCAGCAGCTGGCAGAGCAGCACGCCGTCCCGCAGCGCCTGCGCCAGCTCGAAGACCACGGCCGAGGGCCAGACCACGCGGTGGTTGGCGGGCAGCACCTTGCAGTCGATCAGCCAGCGCCCGCACTGCCGCCACTCCGCCATGGCGCCCGGGGGGCTGCCTACGCCCACCGGCCCCGCCATCCTGGCCCGGGGGCCGCCGCCATGGGCCGCGGGAGGACGACCGGGAGCCCCCGCCGAGGCTCACTGCGGAGGAGGGCGCTGCGGGAGGACGGCGGGGCGGGACAGGGCGCCCCGCCGCCCCTTCATGCCCGCCGCCCGCGGCTCTCTCCTGCTCTGCGCCGCCCGCCGGCCCGACTCTCCGTCCGCCTGCGCCGCCCGACCGGCGAACAAAGAGCCCCGCCGGGCCGCCACCGCTGCGAGCCGCCGGGCCGGGCCTGGGCTCTTTTGTGGAGAGGCGGCGCGGCGGAGGGTCCCCTCCTTCCCTTCCTCCCTGCCTGCCTCTCCGCCCCCTTCTCCCCGCCCCTGCGAGCCGGCCGTCGGCGTGGAGGGCGCGGCCGCGGCGGCTCCTGGCTGGCCGGCTGGAGAAGAGCGGCGGGGCGGGCGAGGGGCGGCGGCGGCGGCGGCGGCTCCGCCCCGCCACCGAGGTGCCCGCGACGCCGCCGCCGCCGCCGACTGCGTGCCGAGCGCTGCTGGCGGACGCCGGCCTGGCGAGGGGGAGCTGGCCGGGGAAGCCTGCAGGGGAGGCCTAGGGGGCCTTTCCGGGGGCCGAAGGAGCCCCGAGGCGGCGGCGGCAGCAGCTGGGTTTCGCCCCAGACCCTTCGCGGCCGAGGAGACCGCCCGGTCCCCCGTTTGCCCGGCGGGCCTCTGGAGCCCGAAGACGAAGCCTCGGGCTCCGCCTGGAAGGAGAGGCCGCCGGGGGGCGGGGGGTCTGCTCTGCCCGCCGTCCGCTCATCCGACGCCTCAGCCGCTTTCTGGGCGAAGCAGCCCCGAGTCCCCGGGGACTTCGAGAGTGGCCGGGGTGTTTTTTTGGGGGGGGGGGGCAGTTAGGCGTTTTGACCAGCGCAGGAAGAGACGAAATGGCGGGAGGGAAAAGGAAGCGACGCGCAGTTTATGTCTCCTCAGACGCGCCTAGAAAAGTTTGCAAAAGTTTGGGGAAAAGATGGTCCGTCGGTCTCCTTCAGGTGTGAGATGGGCGGGGCTTGGGTGATGATGCCACGCCCACTGCCCATAAATACTGACACCCCCCCCATCAACCTCTTCAGTAGCTGCAAGTAAAATAAGGCAGCTGTTGCACTTTTCCTCAGACGCCCATTCAGAATTCCGAAGTACATTTTGTATTTGTATCCCACTTTTTTATTCTTACAAATAGGGGGAAAGCTATCCAACACACTTTTCTTCTCACATTTTCCCCACAATACATCTGGGGGGGGCGGGGGCAAAGAGAGAGGAGGGGGACTGGCCCAAAATCTCCCAGCTGGCTTTCTTGGCTAAGGGAGAGGAGCTGAGCCTTTAATCTCCGCTGTCAGCCATTAAAACAATCTAATCATGAAAAAAAGTCTGGGTCGAGAATCCCCCTTTCCATGTGGATGCCAGAAATCGGGGGAAAGGAGTGCTCCCAAGAGGCGCCCAGCACGCCACGGTCATCATCCCTGTCCAGAAGTTCACTGTCCACAAGCACCAAGGCCAGGGGTGTCCTGGGGCCTTGGCATCTGTTGTGCTCCAAGCAAGTGTTGGGCCTGGCAATCCCTCCCAGCAGGGGCGACATGCCCAGGGCCAAGGGGTGCTCTCAGCACCCGCCCTGCAGCAGGGCAAGGGCAGCTCCAGGCGCTCTCAGCACCCGCCCTGCAGCAGGGCAAGGGCAGCTCCAGGCGCTCTCAGCACCCGCCCTGCAGCAGGGCAAGGGCAGCTCCAGGCAGAGGCACCACTTCTGAAGAATTGGGGTTCTGGCTTCAACGGCAAGATGCCATGACTTGATACGATGCGATCTTTGTCTGCAACTCCAGCCTGCCTCCAAAAGCAGGCTTCAACATAGCAAAGCTGGCTGGGGAATTCTGGGACTTGAAGTCCTCCAGGCTTAAAGTGGCCAAGGTTGGAGACCCCTGTCCTAAAGAGTTCTGGATTCTTGGCTTGGGGCACAGATTGGTCCTAATAAAAGACACAACTGGTTTGCGAAAGTTCGTTATCCAATTTTTTCTAAGGGTCTAACCAGGGTGGATTTGATTTAAATTGATTTAAATCATGTTTTAAATCACAGTTTAAATCATTATTTAAAATCACTAGTAAAAAGGCTTAATTTAAATCAACTCGATTTAAATCATAATTTTGAAAGAGCAACTGTTATCTCTGTCCCACAGCAGTTCCTCCTCTGACCCGCTGTTGACTCACTGACCGTCCCATTCCCTTTAATGGGACAGCTGGTGATGTGGCAGTCACACAACATGGTGAGGGATGTAGCGGGCAACAGGGGAGTGGGTGCCTGCTAACAGGCGATCTTTAAATGTAAGGACTCATCCTTGCTGGTAGGTAGATTATTTAATACACTGCTCAAAAAAATAAAGGGAACACTTAAACAACACAGTGTAACTCCAAGTCAATCACACTTCTGTGAAATCAAACTGTCCACTTAGGTAGCAACACTGACTGACAATCAATTTCACATGCTGCTGTGCAAATGGAATAGACAACAAGTGGAAAGCAGAGGCAGTTAGCAAGACATCCCCAAGAAAGGAGTGGTTCTGCAGGTGGTGACCACAGACCACATCTCAGTTCCTATGCTTTCTGGCTGATGGTTTGGTCACTTTTGAATGCTGGCGGTGCTTTCATTCTAGTGGTAGCATGAGACGGAGTCTACAACCCACACAAGTTGCTCACGTAGTGCAGCTCATCCAGGATGGCACATCAATGCGAGCTGTGGCAAGAAGGTTTGCTATGTCTGTCAGCGTAGTGTCCAGAGCATGGAGGCGCTACCAGGAGACAGGCCAGTACACCAGGAAACGTGGAGGAGGCCTTAGGAGGGCAACAACCCAGCATCAGGACCGCTACCTCTGCCTTTGTGCAAGGAGGGACAGGAGGAGCCCTGCCAGAGCCCAGCAAAATGACCTCCAGCGGGCCACAAATGTGCATGTGGCTGCTCAAACGGTCAGAAACAGACTCCATAAGGGTGGTATGAGGGCCCGATGTCCACGGGTGGAGGTTGTGCTTACAGCCCAACACCATGCAGGATGTTTGGCATTTGCCAGAGAACACCAAGATTGGCACATTCGCCACTGGCGCCCTGTGATCTTCACAGATGAAAGCAGGTTCACACTGAGCACATGCGACAGACGTGACAGGGTCTGGAGACACTGTGGAGAACGTTCTGCTGCCTGCAACATCCTCCAGCATGACCAGTTTTGCAGTCATGGTGTGGGGTGGCATTTCTTTAGGGGGCCGCACAGCCCTCCATGTGCTCGCCAGAGGTAGCCTGACTGCCATTAGGTACCGAGATGAGATCCTCAAACCCCTTGTGAGACCATATGCTGGTGTGGTTGGCCCTGGGTTCCTCCTAATGCACGACAATGCTAGACCTCATGTGGCTGGAGTGTGTCAGCAATTCCTGCAAGACGAAGGCATTGATGCTATGGACTGGCCCGCCCGTTCCCCAGACCTGAATCCAATTGAGCACATCTGGGACATATCTTGCTCCATCCACCAAGGCCACGTTGCACCACAGACTGTCCAGGAGTTGGGGGATGCTTTAGTCCAGGTGTGGGAGGAGATCCCTCAGGAGACCATCCGCCACCTCATCAGGAGCATGCCCAGGCGTTGTAGGGAAGTCATACAGGCACGTGGAGGCCACACACACTACTGAGCCTCATACTGACTTGTTTTAAGGACATTACATCAAAGTTGGATCAGCCTGTAGCGTTTTTTTCCACTTTAATTTTGAGTGTAACACCAAATCCAGACCTCCATGGGTTGCTAAATTTGATTTCCATTGATACTTTTTGTGTGATTTTGTTGTCAGCACATTCAACTATGTAATGAACAAAGTAGTTAACAAGAATATTTCATTCAGTCAGATCTAGGATGTCTTATTTTTGTATTCCCTTTATTTTTTTGAGCAGTGAATATTCTTTGCAAACAAAATGAAGTTTTCCTATTTAACTTGCGGAGTTTGTATTCATTGAAGGAGTTTACCAAAAATGTAAATATTGCAGAATATACAGCCTCCTGCTACATAACTAATCTCCACTTCATGCTGAATAAATTAAATTATTAATGTATCTTAAATAAAAAACTATCTTTAGATAGATTTTTACTCCAAAGGCATTTTATTAAAATAAATTTGATAAAAATAAAAAAATCAAATTTAAATAAAAAAAAATCAGATTATTCTTTTTAAAAAACATAGATTTTCATCCACCCTGGGTCTAACACACTCAGCTTCGTTTTTCGAGGTTCATCTGTGCAGATTTTCAACTATTGTACTGTGTCAAATCTGCTTCCCCCTGCTGGTGGCACCTAGTCATTGCACCTCATCTCTTGGTGCCTATTAATGTGTTTTGTTGTTTTGTTTTTTGCAACTTTCAGCCTTCTGGTGCATGAGAGCTGCCTCCTTTGCAGCCAAGCTCCTGGGAGGGGAAAAGCTGGGGCTTCAGTTTGAGGGGGCTGCCATCTGCCCAGCCATCTCTCTAGGCCACGTGCATTCGCTGTGCCACTTGGATCAACAATGGCAGGTCATTCAACACCGAGTGAAACCTTCAACCCTGATTCACAAAATGAAATTGCTGGTTTGACATACTACTCCCAGAGAAAACCTTATTAACAACTTTAACCGGATGATCTGGTTCACATGACATATTAAGGGCCTGGTTGAATTCGTATAAAACATGGCAAAACTTCCAGTGAACAATGGCAGGCAGTGGCAGTCTGGAGAGATTCTCAGTCATCCAGGTTACCCCAAAAGAGCTTTTTCAGGAAGCAACTGGACTTTCTTGTTTTTTCTTTGAAGGTGTTTCACTTCTTATCCAAGAAGCTTCTTCAGCTCTGGCAGTGCTTCAATGATCCTCTAAAAAGATGCAAATGACCAGCCGTCTGCAAGGAATGTAAATTCTTCCATTCCCCACCATCTAGTCAGAGCTGAAGAAGCTTCTTGGAGGAGAAGTGAAACATCTTCAAAGAAAAACCAGAAAGTCCAGTTGGCTCCTGGAAAAAAAACTTGGGGGGCAGACAGCAGGAGACGTTACAGCTGAAAACAACAACTGGATGCTTGATCTAGACTACCAAAATCTCTGGAGAAAGGAGAGATCTTGAATTCACCTAGACATGGACAGCTATTTTTGTATGAGTAGACAACAGAAACTGGAGCTTTTGTGGTTGCAGCTGAGAGTTGCAAGATTCCACCATGTTCAGTGCTACTAATGTTGTCTTTTTATGGGCTTACGGTTTGACTGTACCCTGGTATTAAACCACTTTGAAGCTTACTTTTTT